GGGAGGGCTGGAATGCTAATGCATCCCTAGGATATTCAAGGGTAGGGTAGGGTACATGTACAGTACATGTACATTGTAGGTCACACTTTCTTTATGACAAGACACTGGTCAATGACCAAACTTATACCTGAGAAAATTTCTTAAAAGTGTAGTTCCAGTCCACATCCACATGTACTAGTACATGTACCAGATATGTACACGGCAGATGAAACATTATTGAATACTGTGCATTGTACGTACATGCATGTACAAAATTGTAAGCCTAGAATTCTTCCCTCTTTAATTATCTGGCAGATCCTTGTTCCAATTGCCGTGCAAATTCTTTTCAATTTACCTTTCATTAAGTTTCCATTTGCGGTAGATTTGTGACCTTACATGAATACATTTTCTCTGTGGTCCATCCCAGCAGTGTCGGAGTTCATGTATAGTAGTACAGTAGCACAAAGTACTCCCAGTCTCAACGACACTTTGTCTACAATCTTACAACCACAACTTGGACCATAGGTTCAGGCAGTTACCACCCAGCCTGCATCACACTGTGTAAAATCCCCCTCCGAATATTCCGTCTTCAGCTCTTCTTCAATCGTCCCTCAGTCTTTCTTCAGCTTTCCTCGCTTCATCAGCACCACACATGCCAATATTAGTCCGTCTTTCTCAAAAAGAGTGTCTTTTCTTCAACTTTTTTGGCCACGCAAATAATTTCAAGTCAGATCCGCATGTTACAATTCTGGCCACTTCTCCAAACTTCTCCTGTTTTGAAGTTCTCCACCTGTATTCAACTGCTTGGAACCGTTCCTGCTCTCATCTAGCCATCCAGCCACTTGATGAACTTCTCTGATACATGTGTACATGTCCGAACTGTTCCTGTTTACTCCTCTGAAACATTCTTCCGAATTCCTCGTGTTCCTGCTTCCTCTGGATCCTACCTTTTTTTCAACTAGCCATTTCGTTTTCTTCTTTTGACGGAGCCAAGCAGATGTCTGTTTGCAAGTTCTTGTACATCATTTTCAGTTTCTTGTTGTTGCTTTTTGAGCGTTTGATTTTGCTTTGTTCCACCATTTAATTGGTTTACTTCTCTTGGCACTTTTAGAGTTAAATCGCTACCTTGTACGCTCTGTTAATTGTTTATCAATTGCACTTTTGGATTTTTTACATTTCCTGTTGGAATATTTTGTTCTCCACACTTGCCATTTACATACCCGGTAGTTGTGTTTTTCTTTTTTATTTTACCAAATGCATACAAAGTTTGCACTTTATTTGGCCTTGTTCATTGTGATTTTCCATATTTATTTAAGGCTTTTGCATTGTATTCTTTAGGTTATTGATAGACTGTACTCACCATGTCTCCTCCAACCAACTCCACATCCCATTTACTTGATTTCAAGGCCTAACTCCCTGCCCCATTTCTGGAGATAGCACTGGTGGCACTCTGCTCATCTCCACCAGCCCCTATCGCTGCTACAGGTACCATGCCCACTCCATTCCTACCACCTCTACCACGCCCACCGCATCTTCACTCGGTTCCTCTATAGACTCCACCCTAGCCCATCTCCTGCATAAATCAGACAGTTGTCTTGGCGATATTCAGTGTGCACTCCGTCGTTCTCACAGCCCCCGTTGGTCCTGCTTATCCTATCGGCAACATTCCCCATCCCCAACTTGCTACTACCCGCGCTACTCTAACAGTCCCCACCCCTGATCTTCCCCGGAATTCCTACTATGGCCAACGAGACTCCCCCGATTTTCCGAGACTACCATTCTCGTCCCACCCAGTGTGATTCTCGGGACTGCCGAAATCGCTGTCCCCGCTCCAACAGTTGTGATCGCCGTGACCGTTGCAATAGTCATGACCACTACAACCGTTACGATAGCCATGACCGACATGTTCCTTTAGCCTTTCTAGCTTCATCAGCACCGCACTTCCAATGATATTAGTCTGTGTTTCTGACTAAAACACTGCAGACCCTATTATCATTGTGACGGTGTTGTTTCTTTCAACTTGTCCTGCCACGTAAATAATTTCAAGTCAGATCCACATGTTTGTTACACTATTAAGACCTCCATGTACAAATGTACATGTACATGCCTTTAAACACATGTGTTCATGATGAGCAAGGATAACAAATGTACCAGTCAGTATATCGACACCTTCGGAGATGTACATGTTCATACACTTGACAACTTATGAATGCTCTATAATTATTTCTGTGTCAATTAACCCAGTCATGATAAGGTTTATTCACAAAACAGCACGCCATGAACAGTTTTTAAAGTACCAGTATACACGGTAGCATAGTACAGTCAATTCGGAGTGCCTTGCCGCAGTTTGTACTGTAGGCCTGGACCACGTCAGGAAACCTTTTCTTAGATTGGCACTTTCCATACAATAGAAATAGACAATAGACTAATCAAAATACATTTACGATTATTCTTTCCTGTTAAACAAAACATCAGAAATGATATACTTGTAAATTCCCTGCACACAGCCGGCGAATAGAATGTGTTTCTACATGTGTATGTTTCTATTGCCCACAATGCACTATGACAAATTAAAGTGGTCTCTTAGTGGCAACGTCTTGGTGGCATAACTCAGTTCTGAATCCTCCATATCCAAAGTCTGTCTCCAAACTTGAGCACATCACTCCCGGTCTGCGTCGTCGTCATTTTTATGGATTTCTATCACTCAGCAAATTGAGTTGAAGATTTTACTTTTTGTTTACAAATTCTTACATGATGAAGTACCTACATGTACATGTATTTATCAGAGTGTTGATGGCTTAACAAAAATGCTATAGTCACACGTTCGTCAGTCCATACATGCCTAATCCAACCTCGATGCATGTAGTAACCGAATACAGGAGGCACACATGTTCCCTTTTCTGTAGCACCTTGTCTGTGTAATAATCTGCCACACATGTATTATATTCAATGTCACTTTCCACATTTAGGGCAGCCCTAAAAACACATTTTTATCGACAGGCTTATAAGTGATTGTTCTCTAATCCTGTGTGTTAAGTGTAACTGACCATGTTTTATTTATAATTCTTGGTTTGTTGTACTCTATTGTACTTGAAATGCAGTTTCACTCCACGAATTTGGGATACATGTACATTTTGTATTTTTAATTTGCTAATTGCATGTTACAGATATTTTATGGAATCATATTTCCCGCTGTTTTAATCTGTGAAGCACATTGAGATTTTGTGCCTTTGCATTTACACAAAAAATGTATCAATGTAATGCACTATATAAAGAATAATATATATATATATATATTTACAAATTGGGAGACATTTTATGGTATATTTTTCAGCCTTAGGGAGACATTGGCTTTTAGAGAGACATTTCAGAGTCTCCCTATTTTCAAACTACCAGGAGGAGGCCAAATTTGTTTGTCCAAAATTTGAGAGATGATAGATTAGGGTCTAAATTGAAAACATACATAGTTTAGTTCAGATCAGACCAGGGAATATTGAATTATGGGACAGTAAAGTTGGAAAAATTTTGTGCACGTTCTTATGGGAATGTCTCGCTAATGACCCATTTGCGGTAATGCTTATTATTATTATCATTAAAATTATATGTGTACATGTATATATCCTGTATATGTAAGTCTTTACATGTACAAGTATAGGTACAGCTCTCAACTTCTTTTGTGGTTTCCATACAGTACATGGATTTGTAGAATGTTGCTATAGGTTTACACAACTGTGTGACACTAGGACACAGCTACATGATACATGTGTCATGAATGTCTAAGTGTCTGTTAAATGGCTTTTTCCTCATCTAAACTTAGACATGACTCACAGATTAACACACTTGTGAATTCAACTAGAAGAAAATGTCCCCAAGCAACAGGTGCCAAAGTTGCTTGGTGTCATTTCCTTCTAGATGCATTTGGGCCTGGATTCGTGAGTGTTATTGTGGCTGGATGTGTTACTCATGATGGAGGGGGCTCATTAGTCTCAGTACAAGATGCTACTGGCTGTAATGTACATGTAGCAAATTTTGACTGCGAGGGGGCTCCCCCTCAAAATAAAACAAAAATCTACAGCAATTTCATTTTATACTTCATTTTCTCAAAACAAAATCCTGGGGAAAAATCTCTCTCCAGTCTCCAAAATGACCAAAATTGTGCCTGGACCCATGCCAAAATCCCAAATTACTGCTCTTTTGTTTGGATGAATTTTTTCTTTTTCTGTTGTCCTTGATCTGAATAGAGTCATCACAACTTGTTTATCACCAGTAAAAATCCACAAGCATAAATAGACCTGTACACATGCATATTCGATCATTATGGCTTTCATAAAGTTTCCTGGGGATTTAGGTAATCCATTCAAGAGCTTAACTTTGCCACTGAGTGTGAGACTACAAGCAGGTCAAAGGGCAACGGATATGACATGTCAGACTTTGACACGGCATGATGACTAGACATCCAGCGAAGTTCTTCAAATTATTATCCATTTCTGAGCTCTACTTGCATCTACCTATCAGTTATGTTTAGGTGAAGGAGTTAATTGAAGCCATTTTTATTTTAACTGCTTTGTTTCAACTTGGCCTCCATCTTTGGGTCCAGCAGTTTGTGTAAGTCATGCCCATATGCACAGTCTTCAGTGTTTAATGAATGGCTCCAAACTCTTGCTTTTAAACACGGTATGAAATTGAAAATTTGCCAAAGTATGCAGAAATGAAATCCGAAGTGGCTTCTATAGGCAACAGCAACTAGGAATTAAGTCAAAGCCCAAAGGCTGCAGAAGATGGGGAAAAGATGATATGTACATGTAGGCTTAAAATATAGCATTCCAGTTACATCATTCAGACCTGAAACAAACACAAAAGGAACTGTCCTGTCAATTATTTCCTGCTTGGGCACTGTTTTCACATGGCCGGTAATGATTTAACGAGCGAAAAACATTATTGAATAACCACAAGGACTCGGAGGAGGCTGTTTCTACAACCTTACTTTACAGCTTCATTAACTACATGTACCTTGGACTAACCTGTGTTTGGTCCTTCCAATGCATCTCGACCCTCTTGGCTGGCAGCCATGCTGATCTGGAAACCAAACCCTCTTGTTCAACCTTCAATAAATCAAACAAATGGACGTATTACAATTTGATATCCCCAGACTAAATACACTGCTGCTACACATACCTCATGATTCAGGGCAAGCTTTCGCATAGCGACCACCATCTCTAGAAAGGACTGGTTCCTCTGTGCCCTTCTTATCCATTGAGAACAGTGTATTGTTACAAGGCGTCTCTTATGTGCAATGCAACGAATCACGAGATACAGCAATAGCATCTTTAGTATGGAGAAGTCAAATTGTTTTTTTCACGTGAATTCAAAGAATTCAGAGTACCAGATTTTGTTCAAATTTTACTCGCAAAAGGCTTATTGAGGGTGGCGTGAATGTAGCAGTATTTTCCTCGCCCTTCCGCACCTCTGGGTTTGGGTCGGAGGTTTGAGTCCCACCCAGGTGTAGGTCAGCATGTGGATTGAGTTTTCAATCCCCGCCTGATTCCATGGGTTCTCCCTGGAATAGGTCCATAGGTCCAATTTGTCCAAAGCTTGTCCTCCCATCTCAAAAACTGAGAACTTCTTCATTCTCTTTTTCACTGTCACTCGTAATCACCCTGAAATTGGTGCTTGCTCGGCTGAATGAACATGAGATCAGATAAAACCAAAATCCCACCGTCCCCAATTGCATGTATTCCGCAAAACAATTTTATCTGTTCTCTGTACCCACCAGTCAGCCAGTTGTGTCGGTCAAACAGGTTCAGCCAGGCTGTGATGTCTGTAGATTGCTTACATCTCAGATGGATTCGTCACCACTAAAAATAAGTTCCCCTAAAGTCTGTGGAAGAGAAATAAAAAAACCATGAGGAAGACAAGGAAATGAACGGAGGGAAACAGCTCTTTACAGCTTCCTCAAGCTTGTAACATTATGGACTGCATTTTTTTCTTTTTGACAATCTCTGTCCCTGATCTTCAATTTGGATAAGATTTATGTAAATGTTTGTTCAGGAACAAAGCCAGAAATTTTATGGAAGGGTTGGCTCCTATGAGAAAAAAAAATTCCCCCCAAAGGACATAAAAGAACAGTCACCCTTCTGGTACTGACAGTGAAATCGTTCAAATGATTGAGTGGGGAATAGGGCTCTCTGTCATAAAAAGTGAATTGATCAATGTCATGATTAATTCCTATCTGATCAACTGACCCACTTTGTGTTAGTAAAGACATCTTGCCCAGAAGGTACATGCACATTCCTCAACTTCTCTTACACAAAACCTGTTCACTTTTTAAGCAAAAATCATGTCCTTTTGATCTAAAGAAAGGATAATTGTTGGGAATTATCTAAATTTATTCTAATCCAGGTTTAACAGCTGTACATGTATTCAATTTGTCATTATTTATAGTGTAGAAACAGAAGCAAAAGAAAAGTTTTTCCGTTTTCGGTTTTTGGTTAACTTCATGTACATAGATACAAAAATACAAAAATGCTTGTCTTTATTGCAACATCAAAACTGCATCCCTACTTCAGCCTGGTTTGGGCCCTTTGGGAATACTTGGTAACATTATAAAAACTGCATTATTTAACATACGGTACATGTAATGTACATGTATTCACATGAAGGGCCTACACACAAGGAAGCCTGTGAAAAAAAATGCAGACTACCAGTTCCTATTGTGATATGTCCCAAAAAATCAACAGCTTGTGACTTGATTTCCAGTTGGATGGCTCATGATGGACTTGGGGCTAACTTGCAGGGATAGTGAAGTTGGGCTGGACTCAACTGCAACACTGTCCTATCCTCTTGCACTGAGAATGCGACTTATGTGTTTACTTCTAGTTTTTATCCTTTAACTTTTATCGTTGGTTTCCACAAATGTATCGTCAACTGGGGTAAAAGCGAATGATTTTGAAGTTTTCTTAAATATCTCAGTCTTTTGTGGAGACACCAGGAAATAAATGTGTGCATGGTTTTTATGCAATACATACATGTATCTCTGCTATCCTGTGCCACATATGCCAAGGTTATTCAATTGATAACGGGTAAATTTTTCCCCCGTTTGGAGGAAGTTTGGTAGACATTTTTACCCGGATCTTGAGGCAAACATGCCCACTAAAAATATATGTACATTCTGAAGCAGATATTTAAAAATGTATTTATTATACCAAAAATTGATTGAAAGAAAAGTGCTGTACATGTATTTTATTCATTATGCAATTAACTTTTCTCAATATACATGTACTGGTAAAGTATGGCTTAAAACTTATTGATCCATGATGTAGTTGTTAACTTGATGTCCTGATCAAATTAACAATATCAATTTACAATTGGACATGTACATGTATTATGTGCTGAACTCTGATCTCACCATAAAACCCCATAAAACTACATGTACATGCACATGTGTATCAGTACTTTGATCAAACAAGGAAATTGTAAGTTGGCTTTAACAAGTCTGTAGGCCAATCTCCCAGGGCAGATCTATTATTTTCAGAATGGGCGGGTGCAAACTTGGGTCGAATAGTCATAATGCAAATGCAATGAAGCCAATTTAAAATTCATTGTTGTGCAGGCAGTGAGAGGGCGGCATGCACCCAGAGCATGTCCCCCCTCCCCCCTAAATCTGCCAGAGTTCTGTATCAAGAGCTACATGTCTTTTTCCTCGGAGGTTTTCTTGGACAAGATTGTTTTTTCTCTTAAAGCTATTTTTTTCTTTCTAACACTCTGCACTTTCCAATCGTTACTATCATAGAATGTTTTCATTCAATGTTGTACTGATGGCCCTTCAGGTACCACTCGCTCCTCTGTCCAGGCAGATCACATCCATACCGGTATGTCGACTCTGTTTTTGATTAAACCTATCATAAGTTTGCAAATCTTTCTTTCCATCTAATTGCAGCTCTGCAGGTGCAGTGAACGGCTGACCCAAAAGTCCTAACTGTGGCTAGGAGTATCATACAATTCTATGGAAAGTGGTTGAAACCACTGGCTCGCTAGCCTGTGGCTTTCATAGTCGTAGCTGCAGATTCATGAATGTTATTACCATCTACTAAAGCCAAGACTTTCAGTGTACAGCCAAAGTGTCCACCAGTCCCCTGGACAGCTACATGTACCAGCAGGGTAGTGCAAGGCTAAGGTAGTGGACTGCCAGGATAGTGCAAAGGCTCCTACATGTAGGATAGTGGACAGCCAGGGTATAGTGGATGGCCAGGGAAGTGCAAGGCCAGAGAACTAGATAGCCAGAGTACCATACTTGACAGTCAAGGTACCAGGTATCCATACGTACATGTACGGGCAGGGTAGTGCAAGGCTAAGGTAGTGGACTGCCAGGATAGTGCAAAGGTTCCTAGGATAGTGGACAGCCAGGGTATAGTGGATGGCCAGGGAAGTGCAAGGCCAGAGAACTAGATAGCCAGAGTACCATACTTGACAGTCAAGGTACCAGGTATCCATGCGTACATGTACCAAACTAAACAGAAAGGGCCCATGTTTGACCTCAAGCTGCATATATTTAGCAAGTAGAAAGCTCCTAATGATCGGTAATGACTGAAGGGATGTTATTCACTTTAATTCAGTTTTCAGTAAAAGGCAAGAAGTAAATTTCACAATCTCAAAACTGGCCTTTTCATTTGTTGATAACAGTGTTTTATGTTGGCATTGTAGGTAACCGTTAACGCTAAGGACCATACCGGTATACTGGGTTGACGTGGGTTCATGTACCGTACGCATATAATGTACATGTACGTATGCAATAAGGGATTATTCAATTTCATTCATAAAATATTACGAGGTAAACAAAACATGTATGTACGTATACATACCTATACTGCCTATGGAATGGATGCTGATGAGGTTCAGTCCACTTTTCCTGAGACAGTAGTGAATTTCAGCAGGAAGCTTTGAACAGAAAGAATTATAAAGAACTCAGCATTGGGAAAACTTACATGTAAGTGGAAAGTTCCAATCATTTCCAGCCCCAAAAGTCAGGCCGAGTTAAACAGCAGCTGAGCTTGCACTGGAATGACCTAAGGTTTTGGCAAGTGGTGAAGGGTCTGGGGGAGGAGTAAACGGGGGGGCTTATCCGCATTATGACTAACCACAGAATCCTGTTTCCCCAGAAGTCGTACGCATGTGTGCGACATCCTTGGCTCTTTCATGCAACATACATGTAGCAGTGCAATAGTCAATGCCAGGAAGCACTTGTCTTTAGCAATCGCATACAACTTGCAAGCAATCAAGATTAATCCCAGAACTGGGATTCCAGACAAATTAATGTCTCTCTGATGGTGCCACAGGCTGATTCTAAGAACGATTTTCGCCAATCGCTGGCAAAAAATGGCAAGAAAAATGTTCTTCCCTTTAGGGTTAGTTTACCCTCTAAGTCAACGCGGGAAGAAATAAATATCCACACTTTCCAATCTCACTACAGTTTTACTCAGAATCCTCCAGACATGGGCGTGGCAAGGAGGGACCAGGGGGGTGCTTGCCCTCCCCTAGAAAATTTGAAAAAAAATATTTCCAAAAAAAGGCGATGAGGGGGATGAATATCACCTGCATGTACTTGCTTGAGAAAAACCTCAAATTGACCCCTGATGAGTGCTTTGTCCCTACTGCACCAATTTCTTCTTGGAAATTTTTTCCCCAAGGAAAAAATCCTGGCAATACCCATGCCTCCGAAAGCCAAAAGTAGGAATCAACCACAACAACATTTTTGCTCAGTTTAGGCCTAATCTTTCAAGGGGCATTTACATCCTGTGCAAATTAACAGTGGCAGGGTTGTATGTTTCCTGTCCTACAAAGTCTGCCAAATCCTCCTGATTGATTTAGAAAGATCTGGGATTTAGAAAGATCTTTCCCGCCACCTGGTTGCTTAACGAAACCAATCAAAATCTAAAACCTGCAATTTGAAAAATTTACTTTCAGGTATCGTATTTCAGCCCCTCTTGGGAAAATTCATCCTGCAGAAATGCAACATACATACATGTTATGTTAAGTGTATGAGTTCAGCATGGCTAAGGTACTATACATGTACATGTACATGTTCTGTACATGCACATGTACTGCTCATTGCAGCATCTGACAGTATAGAATTTCACGTCACAGCCAACTCACCAGAATGTACTGTAGATGTAGCAGTGCTGGTAAGCACCGCACAGTACATGTGTGCCCGCTGCTTACATGTACATGTACAATGTACTGTGTACTACTGTTCTGCATGTGCTGACTTTACAAACTTGGTGAGCTGCAAGTTCATGATAAACTTATGTTCCTTAAGAATCTCCATTCAGAGTGAATTGCAAAAAACTAAGGAAGTTTCCCAGTTTAGGAAAAATCTTATCTTCCAATATGATTGAGAGATTACAGCAAATAACTGTAACTTTAAGAACTGTACTGGCACATGTCAAACCCTGCATTTCAGCAACTTTTTTTTTTAACCGATACGTCTTTGACAGGAAATGGTATTTTCCTCCAGGTTGAGGTAGCTGAAAATAGCCTGGCAGCAAATTTTGGATGACTGGGTGGCATGACTCATCCCCTCCCCAAGGAACGGGCACAGGAAGGGGGTTTAACATGCACAGCGCCGTACTGACAGGGGGCTCTGTTCGGGAGTGGGAGGGGTAGAAGATGGTAAGGAGGGGTGTTACCAGTAAAATACCCAAAGTCAGGGCTGTTCTCTGAGAATCTAAGAGTGGCCCTTCAGATCCACTGTATTCAAAACTTGATCTACAAACATAACAGGCGTTTGAAAACACTCATAAACTATGGACAAAGGACAGCTGTGTCCTTAAATTAACTGGCTGTGGCTAGGAATTGCATATGTACAGTGTTCTAGATAGGACCATTTTAGTGCCAGGTAAATTTTTGGATTATCAAGCGTAGTGATCACAGTGACTGGAACTCTCACAGCCCATACATGTAGCTGGGATTTTAGGACTTTGATTTGTGAGAAATATATTTCTTACATGTAGGTCTTTACTTACTTGTTTAAAATTGTAAAATAGTACAAAACTGCAACTTTTTAAGCTTGAAATATGATCAAATTGGTATATTTTCAGCAATATTTCACAGCCAATTTGAACCCAAGAGCCTGGCGGAAACTTACAGTACCGGGTCGTGCCGCCCAGCACTGCCCACCGTGGCTAGAACGCTGCATATGTATTTATGGGAAGTGGCCGTAGCCGCTATAGAATATGCACACCTCGTAGAACAGAAACAATTTTCCTCGAATTTCACATCTTCACTCATTCCTACCAACTTTTCTTTTCTTTAATGTACATGGCATACATACATGTATGCGTCAAATAAAAACACCCAGAGACATACATGTACATGCCACTTTCTGTAATTTTCGTCACATTTCATGGTCACAGTGGACCTCTTAATGAAGTGTTTCTGAACCACAACATGGTGGTAAATGCAAAGTTATACAAAATAATTTTTCAGAAATATTAATATTTGAACCATAATAAATGTCTATATTTTCAACTGAAGTATACACTAGGAACATTAAGTTGAGTACAATTTGTCTGACCTCTTAAAGAAAAAGTTGGCCAAACTATTTCAAACAGCAAACAATTGAGGAAAATATTTTTCTACCAAGTGCAGCTAAACTTTTTGCCCCGACTGTACACCCTGTACATGTGCTGGCTTGGTTTTTTCAGTGGAGTCATAATTTCAGCACGCAGTGTCATATTAGCTTCATGATTTTGATGAACCCTCAAAGTTTTAACCTCAGGACCACTCAAGAAGTTACGGCTTTATGAACAAACAAAAGGAAAATGACATTCCTCAGCTGAAAAGAAACCATATTAGCAACGCCAGTTCCATACCTGGAGCTCCTGTGGCTAGCTACATGTACCGGTACATGTACTAGCAAATCTTGCACAACCACGACAACCCCATCTGGATGGGTCTGCTAGTAACGTCCGGTAGGCACAAGTCTTGTGTGTTCTTTTCAACCAAGCAGCGGATTCCAACACTTCATGGTTTCACAAGGCATCCGTCAATGACTCACATGTAGAAACTCTATTAATGAACTTAGGAGGAAAGAATGTAGAAATTAGTTAAAAAGTTGGCAAATCAAAATGATTGGTTGCACTCCATGTAGTGATAATACATGTACATGTACAATCCACTGTATTACGGTGTATGTTAAGTTCCAGACAAAGCAAGATTTTAGACAAAAAGGTGACTCAGCATGTTTCAGTTTATGAGAAAAAAAACATGAAATTTCAGCTGTTTAGAGGCCATCTATTATCAATTTGGAGCAACTTCTGACTGTTGATTCTTATAATGTTGATTACAACTTCAGAAGGGCATCTCAGTCTTTTTGGAACACCCCAGTAATTACATGTAAATACAAAACTAGTACATGTACATGAACACATGGAATTTTAGCAATTTGTAAGCCTTGAAAATTTCCATTTTGGGCCGATTTCACCAGTTAATTCTGAAACGCTGGCTCCATATCCAGTAGAGAAGTATGAGTGAACAACCAAATGCAAGATAAGAGTTCCTCAATACCGTACACTGGACAGAATCAAAACATGAGTAGAGCAAAGACAACCTGGTGCACTTACATTTAAAGAACGTACATGTATAGGCCTACATGTACACGCAATACTTGGGGTGACCAGCGACTGTAAGCAACGTGATGAACACTTTCATAGGAAAACTGAAACTGTCAACTTTAGAGTATCGGTAGCCATACACCTTCAAAGTTACATGCACACAACCACAATGAATACAACCAGGAACACTACAGGAAATCACACTTTTCCCCAAAATATGCATGTTTACGTGGAAGTGCTGGGTGCCATGAATGAAAACTTTTGCATCCGGAACTCACATCCGTCAATAACGTTCTCTGTCTGCCTGGATTTCTATCTGCTATTGTTGAATTGGTACCGGTACATGGGGCGTGCACCCACTAAAGTTTGTCTGGGAACATGCCTCAGAGAAATATCTATTGTTACACCTCAAAGTGGGTAAAACCCTGCCACTGAATACCTGAAACTCTGGGCCATTGTCCGCAGTAAGTTGGGCTGAGGTGCTAGATAAACACAGTATTTTTAGCCCATATTCACTATTAATCATCCTTAAAATGCTTAGAAAATATGGTGTCAACTGCCAGATTTAAAGAAGGAAGTCGAAAATAACCTTACTTTCCATATTTTGGAGTTTAAATGTACATGTCTGTGTGCACAACTGTATTGTTTTACGTGTATGTTACTGCTGGATTTCAAATTCTTTAAATTTGTTTTCAGAGTATTTGATGGTTCTCAATTTGAAGACATGTACCGTATTATTCTGGGTTAGGTTTGACTCTCACATTTCAAACTTAATCAGATTAAATGGCTTAGAAATTTTAACAACCTGCCACAACAAATACATGTATATTATTTTGGCCAAAAATTTTGACTTGAAAAAATGCCAGATAAACCAGGCAACTTATGATATACAGAAAAACACCAAAACTACTGCCTAAATAGAGTCATTTGAATGATGTGATATGTACAGTAACTTACCTGTGCAGTGTACCCCGCCCTAAGATACATGTACCGGTACATGTAGGCCTACTGTGCAATACCCCAGGGGTTTGCCATGGAGCAATGTATACTTTGTACAAGAAGCCATGCACAGCAGCTGAGTTCAAGTTTAACACACAGTCCACCTCGAACGACTTCGCGGACTTTGCATACCGTACACGTACACGTGTGTTTATAAACAAACAGGGCTAGCATTACGTGTTTAGACAGGCAGAACTGACTCAAGCCATGTGTAGTGCAGTACTCTTTGGACTATTGACTGTCCCTGTGAGTACAGTTGGCCAGATTACATACGTTTGTAAACATGTCCTCTAGTGCAAAGTGGCTATCGGTAGGAACAAAATCAGGATGCTGATACATGTCAATCCAGACAATCAAAATTTGGGTAAAACAAGACAAAAAAGTTTTTATTTTGCAACAGATGAACAAAACTTTGTGCGCATTGGTGGTGAGTACTTTCATGCAGTCACGTGGCAGCGAGTGAACTCGACACAAAAGGCGTTGGATGACGTCAACTTTCAATCTGTCATGAAGGAAGAGTCAGCTTTTCACTACCAGATTGTGACTGTACACATCCAGTTTACTTCAGAGAAGTACATCGAGGAATGGTTGGAAAATATCCAGTGCCCAAATATGATTCGAGTCTGATGTACCCCTACAAAGCAAGGTTGTACAACACTTCACTAACAAAACTACAAATACTACATGTACTTTGAAAGTACAGATTACATGTACTGTACATCTCGAAGTTTCAGACATGAGCTCATTCATGTAACAAGACACGTACATGTGCTGATTATCAGTATCAGGCTTATTTGAAAACTTGATGCAAGGCACATTTTAACTTTGGAAGGTCCATGTAGAACGTAGTTCAACCCAGCAAGGTACGTGTAAGCCTTAGTACCAGTATGGACATGTACAGGAATGTAGTGTAGGCCTGTAGCCTACGGTACTGCATCATGTTCATGTACATGTGTGTACAGAATATACGCAACACCTACAAAAAATTAAGGCGAGGCTTTTGAAGTTAGTGCTCGGATCTGTCGACCTTCCGGATTCAGAACTGGCAAAAAATACTTTCTTTTTTTTTTTTGAGAGCCGTGGATCCGTCGGCCAACAATTTACCGATGTTAATGTTCAATTTCAATTTTGTGAGCTTTGATCTTCGGTGGCCAGCGCTAGTGGTAAGAGATACCTCGGTGTTTTCTTCCAGAAAAAAATTTGTTTTGTATTCTTCCCTCCAACTTGAAGACCCTTCTTTGTTTTTCTTGAGACCAAGGAAAATACACATACTTTTTTTCCCCGTCCTCCAAAATTTGTCTCAAAAAAATCCAAGCACCAATTTAATGAAAAAATGTTTTTCTAAAGTTCAGTATGTACTGGTAAAGTTGTATGCAAAGGCATAAATCCGGAAGGAGGAAGTATATAGTGTACCGATGTACATCCCCCAGTCCCAGGCTTTTTGACCTGGTGGGGATGGGCTGTGATTGAATCATATCCCCTCCCCACCCTACTTTTTCATTGTGAGAAAAATAAATTAGGCGCATGTTGAGGAATTTTGTGGACTTTTCATCAACTGAACTGTACCCATTGGCACCAACAAAAGAGCAACAAAAAAAAAAAGAAAAAAAGCTGTAAATTTCAGCTGTTTTGAGGAAGGTTTAGGGGTGTTTAAAGCACATACTGAAGACGAACATCCAGTATAGTACTGGTACATGTGTGTATCGTGAACAGCGCCAACTTGTGCCATTTTGTGTCATCATCCTTCCGTTCACCTCACAAAATTCCTCGGTAGGGCAATTTTTGGATTTGTCATCCATTCCCCTCATCCCCTCCGTCTCTGAAACAAATTTACCCCACTGCCTGCAAACACAATCCAAAAAAGTTTCATCTTCTTTCTCCTGAAGGCGACATTTATAATTGAATTTAATGTGTGCTTGGCATGACACTGGTGGGCCAATTCAATGGAACTACATGTACATTTACCTGGGTAATTCCTGAAATTAGGGGTTCTTTTTTTTTCGTGTCCCTGTCACATCCAACATATGATTTGGTAAGTTCAGAACACATTTTCTAATTTCCAAGAGGGATAAATTAATGCAAATTACCTGCCAAACAAACAGTAATAGTTTGAAATTGATTCCGGTGCTATTTCCATGTCAAATAACAAAGGTCAGATGTAACAGGGACACAAAAATGTCACACTTTTGGACCCCTCATTTCATTTGTAACAGCCATTCTTGCTTTTACATGTACATTGTAGGATTGTTTTGCTCAATGTTTTAAAAGTTAAAACTTAGTGTGCGTATCACTCAAAAATTATCTTTTTACCCTTGGGAAGTTTTCTTTTCTACAACTGTAGGTCGTTTTGAGGAGGAAGTTGCTGGAAAATATAAAATTCTGTACTGATTTTGTCGGTTGAAGACAGAGTAAGTGAGGTGTTCCCATTAATTCTGAATTCCATATAACAGGTTTTTCTTCAATAATTTTAAATTGTATTGAGGAGTTCAACTAGATCATTGCAGATTGGCACCTTGCATTCCAATGTCTATTGGCCAAATTTCAATTGCCATTGACAAAAACATGTATTTGTGAACCAAGATCAATATCCCTTATGCCCCCACTAGTAACATAGGCCTAGGCAGCTTGGGCCTACATCATACATACATACATGTACACAATAAACATGTTGACTGGTACATGTACATGCAGGCCAACTGCGCTGAAGTCTGTGAAACACCTGATGACAAAACGCTATACTCTACTGGGGGCCTACCAGTAATAGACATAGTAGACATTCACTAGACCTCATTAATAATCCTCTATGATAATACGCATACATGTAACACAGGCGTCGATACATGTAGCTTAGAGGCCTACAAGTGTGCATTGTCATTAGCCGTGATGATCAATACTACTGTACTGTGAAATGTAGGCCCTGGGCTAAGACTTGAGTTGCATCAGTTTGCATGCGTCATCAGCACTGAACAGTCAGTCAGTGAAAAAAACTGAGACAGTAAACTGTAGCCCTACCAATGCAATCGTTTCGAACAAAGTAGCCTAGCCTTTTTTTTAGTCATGCTAAGATTTAAGAGGTCAGCACGGTGGTTAATAATAATGACCACGAATGGCATGATGACCATGACCAGTGATGACGGTAGAATTTGAGTTGTTTACTGACGGAAAATCATACCAACATGTGCAACATACCGAAAGAAACAGGTTAAGTTCTGCAGCCTCCGCGCACAAACTGACGGTCTGGCATGGCTGTCCGGATGAGTGATCACGCTGAATGCTCGTCTATTGAAATGGCCCGCCATCACTGCACCGTCTGTAGCTGTCTGAGAAAAGAACAGAAATCGCTCACGTCCAGACAACCACCTACCGAGAATGTTGCTGATTGGTCCAATGTTCATGACAGGAATCCGGAGCCGAGGGGATGCACGTTGGATGGCTTCGTGAAACCTGCATCCCAATCTGTTGACTGGGGCTAGGTTTTCACTCCATTGGCAATACGCGGAGACGCACAAACAATAGACCTAGCCGTAGCTCTGGCTGACGCGCTTTGAAGCGACTCTACTAGACTTGACCCTGTCTCTCCTTCATATTTAGGCTTCGCAGCAACTACGAAAAACTTGGTGGCGCTATCAATGAAAACACAGAAGGTTGCACTTGTAATAGGCTAATCTGTGGTTGCACTACACCAAATACGCAACCATAGAATACAGTGCAAAATCGGACCGAAATAGCGCCGCCTGTTGACTCTCGTGAAGAGGTTAGCCCCCGTTTTTTCACTGGCATTTCAAGATTATGGCCAAAAGATTACTTTTCGTTTCATTTTTATGGGAGTTTTTATTCAACTTTCAAGGAAGATACCCCCCCAAGTAGCAGTAAAACTAAGCGCTCATTTATGAATGGAGCCACCCGCCTCTATCCAAAATAGGCACGCAATTTGGGGCTTTTTGTGAAAGAAACACCCCGAACTGGAAACCATCAGTCCAAAATTTGGGATTTAAAGAAATATTTCTATGATCCCTCCTGATTATGGTCTGTCTTAATGGAAAAAGCCCGTGGGATCACAAAATATTGATGAGCTGTCGCACAGAAATACAACCATTTGGTGGAATGCACCGAGGAGGCTTTCCTTGCTCTGTGGGCCAACTAGTGTATGCAATAACAATTCCCTCGTTTTCTGTTTTGCAAGGTTACAGTGGAAAAAGTACCGTAGCCCACACATTGGCAGATGGTTATGTAAGATACGAAGGGCCTAGGCTTTCAACTGAAGCGCAACCTCGCAGTCGCGAAATTCTAATTTAAACATTCCTCTTTTGAAGTGGCGAAAATGATAATTTTAATAGCTAGGGATTTCGAGACAACTTTTTTGTTTCGAACATAAGTGTTTAAGGCCTGAAATTTGGACAGCGTATCACCAGTATCGCATGGGTAGGCCTACATGGCAGTATGATCTACTTAGCGTGAATTTCAGCTGGTACCGAATTCGCCCTTTGGATAAATTGAAACCACGCTACTGTGTTTGAATTTTGTCGATCGTTAAATTTGAATCAACTGCAACCGTAGCGATTAAGCATGACAGGATGATGCCCTTGATATACTGCATGATTTTTCTACAGGAACTGTACATAGGCCAAGCTAAATGTACCCCTTTCGATTTGTCGTAAGTTCGGCCTTGAGGATCAATTCTGGACGACTAACGGGCGCCAAGCCTCAGGAAGTGCGACAACCGGCCATGAACTTGATGGAGGTGCTTCATGGGCGTGAGTACAGTGTAAAAAGATGCCATTCATATAGCTCAGCGTGTAATGAGGTATTCGGCAGCGAACAAATTCTTATCGACAAAAGAGGTAACATGTCGATGAACATTCAAAGCGGTATGGTGCAAACTTTTTGAGGGGTAGGCTACAATACGCCGCCCTTAAGTCTATACCCCATGGAAGAAAATGTCGAAAATTCTGACGAGTTTGGATGCTGAAAAAGCTTTAATACTAAACTGAAATAACTATATCACTTTTTTCCTGGAGTGACCACACATTTTTGCCCTTAAAATGACAAAATATAAAAGAAAATTTAATGAAATATAAAAGTGCATAATATTACAGGGATGCATTCAACGCGTTCCTCTAGGTTCATATAAAATCTGGGAAATGAATGATACATGCGTCTGAGATGGAAAGGATGGTAACTATAGCGACTGGATTGAATTGGTAAAGTAACAAAGGCAAGATGAAATCTCCTTCAGAATTGATGTTGCGTACAATCGCTCGTCTGTTTCCATATTTAATTAAAATGGTTGTCTTTGCCAGTCATTTTGATTTATTGCAGCTATGCAGGTTACAGTTTGCCTTTTGATCTGATGGTCCCTCGCACCAGCAGCTCTGCGCATGCGAGTTTCTCATCATCGGTATTCGTCCGCTGTGTGTGGAGGCAGTGGGGAGTAACGTGGTCGGGTCAGAACCGCCTTTGATTGCTTCTTTTTATGCGCTATGCAGAAAAAAGACGTAACGAGGCCGTTGCTGGTAATTGCCTCGCCATATAGTGATGCCCCAGCAAATGACTACAACATCATAAATCAAAATAATTGCTCTGCCCTTTGTGACTGCGTAGGATAAGTTTCTCGCTCTCTGATCACTGAAAGTGCCAACTGTTTCCATGAGCCAAAAGGTCCACTTTCTACTAAAAATAGCCATCGTTGCTGCACAAGCAACAGCAGCGGGATGGAGCGTGGATGGGTCCTGGTGCGTGCTTCATTTGTGACACTGTTGCTGATTTGGGTCTTGTCTGTTACCGCCGATGAGAAAAATGTCACGGATCTTTATGTTCTGACGCTGTTCCCGATGTCCGGGTCCTGGGCGGGGGGCCAAGGCCAGCGACCGGCGGTGGAGATGGGGCTGCGCCACGTCAACTCCAACCCGGCCCTGCTGCCCGGTTACCGCTTGGTTATGGTGCCAGAGAAGGCCGAGGAGGCAGACACGCAGGCAAGTAACCTTCAGTTCGTCTTCGCTCCAATATCGTATCTGTCAATCCCTCTTCCTGTCCGTAAGTGTCCAACTTGCTCCTTAGCCCTGACAACAGTACGCCGGTGTTAAAGCGCACGGGTCGTTCAGTTTGGAATTTTTGTTAGATAGTCATCATTACCCATAATCTGGTATGTAATTCCACGACTGGAATATTAAAAGAAAATGTCATCATATTAGTCCTTCTTCGACTCGCCTCTTTCATTGGTGATACAGATTAGTGACGGAAAAAATGGTATGCTTTAGTAAAGTCTGTAGCTATTACTTTCGTTTTCTGTTATCCGTTTATTCATTTGTGTCATTAACGCTATCACTTCGGGTGCGAGTAATGACAGTAAGATTACCCATTTCTTCGAGGAACGATCTCAAAAACCTAACGTTAAGAAGCTCACTTATGATTTTGTTAAGTTTCCTGTCTTGCATAGATTTATATGACGTGGTATACTTAAATCTTTGGTCAAAATGTCAAACGGCCAGCAACGATAGTACCTCTACTCCTGTTGATCAAAATAATTTTGCACAAATAACTAATTTTATCCCAGTCTCGGTCTATGAAATAGGTGTTCTCACAGCAAACGTCTGTGATTATGCAAGCCAGTTTTGGTAATTAGCATCTTGATCCCACTGACCAATCAGTGCGCGTCTTTACCAAATGCAGTACAGGCAGCTGTCAGCTACCGACCAATCAACAGCACGTGCAGGGCTTTTTTCCGACCAACAGCTGCAATTTACTGACTGACATGCCGTGTTTGCATGGAATTTTCATGCGTGCCCAATTCCCAACATTTTTCCCCAACGTGAACCTGAACAGACATTCAAATGGACATGTCTTTGCCCCCAAAATCAGATTTTTAATATCGCTCTCCTTCCAAATCAGTTCGCGGGGAGAATTCTTATCGATTCTTCCCTTCTCGTATTTTCCTTTCTTCCGAGTCTCTGCAAAGCCAATCACTTCTACCTTCCATCACTCAGCAATTCCACTGTTTTCCCTTCCCCAATCTTCGCCCCATCAGTCAGCCGAGGAAGTCACCGCCATATCTGCTCCATTTGGCGCGTAATCGCTTGTTGCAAATTATACCCCGCTGTAATTGGATCCACCGAACGTCTGCGCACGCTGTGGTAGAGCTGGTCCGTAGCCTGGAAATTCATTCCTAATATGAAACTTTAATGCATGACTTACGAGAGACGGCAGCAAGACTACTCTGAGAAAAAGGACTGAGGGAAAGAGACAGGTCACCAGATTGCATTTCACACGAAATGCATTTCTTACCACAATATATTACCGCGCAAGCCTTAATTGAGCAATGCATTAATGTAGTTGCATGGTTTACTTACAAAGCCGTGCATAATGGCGTACTGACTTTTTACCTTGAAATGGTTCTTGTTCCCGTCATTGTTTGCTTTTTACTCCATAAAAAGTATTATTATGCAGATTATATTTTAATACATTATTGCTATTAGAAGCCAGCACCAAAACGGAAAACAGACACCATTGGGTACTTTGACTGTTGTTCTTATGAAGTAGTTATTAGACCTTTCGAAAACGCGTGTTTTTCTTGTCTAAGAACTCCGCTGAGTTGTGTCACTTTTAGTGAACGTATTTTAGTATCGTTGCATTCATGACATTTCCATGAACGATTTCTCTTCTTTGCTACGTAGTTTTCAGCACTGAGCTTAAAGTCACCTTTGAGCATTTCAAGTTTTTCAATAGAATGAAAGCAGCCGCAATTTCGGTGAAAACGCTCTATTTGCAAGAAATTTGTACTGAATGAATACCGTTTGATGTCTATGTAGAACAAGTACTCTGAGTAGTGGCGTATCGATCCAGCGGGGGGCGGGGGAACTTGCACCCTCCAGACATTTTGTTTTAGAAAGCTTAGAATACTTCATAGATGGTTAGGAAGAAAGTAATCAGTGTATTTATTTATGAGATATTAGCACCAACACCCTGAGAAAACAACGCCAGCAAATAAAAGCAAGGGTGTCTAGACCATGAGTAAGGTTTTTGACGTTTTTTCTCCCCCAACATCATGTTGAAGGAGCCCAAAGCCGCATTCGCTTTTGACTCCCCCCCCCACCAAAAGCTGGATACGCCGCCGCTTTGAGAGACAAGGAAAACCAGATTCTAAAAGCACAACAGTATCGCCGACGATGAATTCCCTTTAGGTTAATTTCAGTAGTGTTTACACACCGAAGTGTTCTGACCAATTCCTTTAATCAGAAGTCTACTTGATACTTCCGACGGACATAGTAAATCTACTGTCAACCTCACGATGTCAAGCATTCACGGCTTGATCGAATGGCTCTCTGTAAATAAAAGCTGTGGGCGCTGAACTTAAAGACGAAACCCCGTGGCTCACATTCTCTAGGAATCAAAACTAGCCAGGAATTCTGAGTATTCAATCTTATAGAGAGAATATGGTCGGTCAAACCATATCCCCATGGCTGACAATGAATTTGTGATGTGTAAATGTTGCGTGTTCTGGCTTGCACGAATTCAGATCTTTCAGATAAACGTATGCTTTCTGCGAGAACATTTTGCTTCTTTTGGGATACGT